TTCATAGGTCAGTGCTCAACCACTGAGCCACACCAGCCGGGTGCAGTACAGAATTTGAACAGTGCCCCCTGTGGTTGTCAAACAAGGTGGCCCTCTTTGAATATCCAGGAGGTACGGTGGTTCTCCCAACATGGCAATATTTGACACATACAGGAGCTGTCAAGAAGGAGTGACCATTGGCCTTCTGATGAAAGCAGTGTTTTTCTGATTGCTTCCATTCAGAGTGCAGTCCAGTTTTTGTGACCAATGTTATAGAACCTTTCGTTTGTAACCCAAAGATGGCTGTTCCGACCCATGACAAGATTGCAGACACTTGCAGGCCTCATACCACTTTGTGTATTTTCAAGTCTCATTCCCCTAGTGCCATCCTGGCCGTGTTTTTCTCTGGATGTAAATGTCATGCTGTAAAGCCAGAACTTTCTACCTTCTCTGAAGTACTACCAAAGGGATCATTTGTTTTCTAATTTACCAAAATGAAACTAGAGACAATTTCCAGTGTGCCACATCTTGGTGATATGTTGGGTTATTTTGAAAGCAAATCGATAATTTCATCTTAGGGGGCTGTGGATTTTATCATGCTTTTTTTTTCTCATCTCATGCTACCTACTTTGTGCTGCAGAAGAAGGGGGAAAAAACTGAACCTATTTTACATAACATCTGCTTCCATTGTGTTATCTAGAAAAGGCAATTCTTTTTCTAGTAGTGTGTAGTTCGTCCTTTTAGTTTTCTGAGTTTATTTCATTAAGATATTGGCTGCTCCCTCCTGTCCTGTACCTTCCCTGTTTTCCGTCTCAGATGTGGAAGCTGGGATGGCTTCCATACCCCCAGTTTCCATATGTCTTCCATGTCCAGCTTCAGTGCCTGGTGCACCTCGGCCCTGTAGTCTTTTGGCTGTGTCATTCACCCCACAATAAGCAACATTTCCTTCTCAACTGCCATTATCCCTGCAGATAGATTTCTTTCCTCATCAATCCTTCCATACCTCTCATTGTAGGGTTTACCTTACGTTTTAAGATTTTTGGGCATGCTCACTAAATTGAGTGACTAAGTAATTTGTCATCCTAACCAGCACAGTTCTGAGAGGAACAGCAGACAGTCTCAGACTGTTCCAGGCTAACCAGAATGTCTGGTCAACATTACTTCTACAAGGATCTCCAAGACAGAGACACCTGGACACTCAGGACATTCAGTGTGCTCAGTAAATATCCAATAAGTGAGGCCTGGACTTGTGAAATTTCTGAAGCAACCAGGTCCTCTTTGAGCATTTTCCTGCCGACAATCAATGGCCATAAATCACCTGTACAGTGCCAGCAACCTCACCCCACTACCCTTTCCCTCAGAAACACATCCCTCCCAATGGTTTTGTTTTCCACTGTTCATTTTGGCCTTAAACAGTGTTCACTCAGATCCCATTTCTAAAGGCTTGAGATAAAATGGTAGTCAAGGCATGCTAGCACTTAACTGTGTATGCCAACACAATGCTTAGTTATTTAGTTGATTTTGAAAATATTCTACTTTCAACCATACTTCTTAGTTATTTAGTTGACTTTTGAAATATACTCGTCTTTGAAAATGACTGGGCAAAGCATAGTTTAATATTGTTGTAGGCATTTCAGTAACAGTCCTAAGTGTTCTGTCAGTGCTCATTCTTGACAGTTAATGGCTAGCAGGACCATTAAAGTGTGTTATTCACACAGTGGAAGGTCTCCCAGTGTGTGATCCAGGTCAGGGTACAGCCTGCTCCCATTTCCCCAACGTGTTTGACTAGAGTGGCTTTTGTACTTTTAAATAATCCATTCTATATTGGTAGACCGTTTCTTCCCTCCTCCCCTTTTTAAAGAATTTTTATGAGTTTATTTGAGCCAAGGTGATGACAATTGCCAGGAAGTAAAATCTCAAAGGACTGAGAAAACGCTCCTTCCTTCTTTTTTAACAGTGCAGTTTCCTTAGGAGACTCACAATGAACTCAACATTGCCAAGTGGGAGGGAGCAGTGGCTTTTATGAATATTCCTGTCCCTACTTGGTCTTTGCCTGTACCAGGCTTTGTGATTAACTCTGACCAATCTTACTGCTCTCCCTGTAGGCCCAGCCCAGAGTCCTTTGTTGTCCTAAATATTTCCTGTAAGGTCTTTTATTAACTTTTCTTTTCTGCTCTAATTTTTCTCCCTCTTACCTACTTTAGCAGGTAGCCCTATAACAATAGTGAGAGAGAAAAAAAAATACATTCTAGTAATATGATTAGCTAAAGCAACAACTGGACTTATGTTCTCTATTTTTTTTTAAAAAAAGAAACTTACAAATTTCACCAGTTTATTTCTTGCTAAATGCTTATTGAAATGACACAATAAAGTGGTTGAAGAGAACCAGCTTTTACTAATTTAAATCTTTCATGGTAAATGTTAGTTGGGAGGAGAGCAAAATTTCTTTGTTTTTAATTAGCTAGTTGTGTTATTTTAGGAAAAATTAAGGCAGGAGGAGATAGGATTGTTAGTTTTCTTTATAATAATAGTTGATTTCTGTGACAGTTAATTGGAGTAGTTTGCTATTGGGAGAGGTTGTTGTCTGCTAGTTTCAGTTTGCCCCATCTTTCTTGATAATAAAACCCCTAATTTTAGCTGGCAGATGGTCACCTGGAATATAGACTGCATTTCCCTGCCTCCCTTGCAGCTAGGCATGACTGTATTATAACATTTTGATTAATTGCTTATAAGTAGGAGTGCCATGTGCAACTTCTTGGAAATTTTCTAAAGGAGGAAGGCTTTTTTTTTCTTTCTTTCTTTTTTCCCCCTTTCTTTCTGTCCTTCTGAAGGGAATGCAGACATGATGGCTAAGCTCAGGCAGCCATTGTGGACCATGAGATGGGATCCATGCATTGAGGATAATAGATACCAGGAACCTCTGGATTGCCTGTGTGTAAATAAGGGAGAAACTCCTGTTATGTGTAACCTTTGTTACTTGTGGTTTGATCTCACATGCGGTTGATCGTAGTCTCAACTGATCTGTCTGTGAATCCATTTCATCTTGTTTGGTTGGAGGGCAGCTCTTTCATTTTTTTTTTTTTTTATCAGACTATATAACATAGAGATAAAGGAATGCTGTGTTTGGTGGACAAGAAAATCTTAACTTTCATAAGCAAAAAATGTATGAGATCCTCTGCAGTGTCTAAAATCTTAAATGTCACGTGACAATTACACATCACAAACATGCTTTTCTCCTTCCTCTTTGCCTTTTTCTTCCCCCTTCTATAGTTGTTCAGTCCTAAAGCCAGTAGGTGGGACAGAAAAAGAGAGGTGTTCAGATTTGGGGACATGATGGCCCACAGCAGGTGTGGGAACCTGAGTGGGATGAGGGGGGCATCTGTGCAGGGTGGCAAACCTGGCTTGAGTGGTTTGAAGTGAGGCAGGGTGAGGACGGTGAGGGCAGATGAGGAGGGTGAGTCTGAGCAGAGTGTGATGGTGGAAGGAGGAGATGGGGGGAGATCAGTTGCTGCATTCCTACATTGAATGGCTGAAAGAACTCAGAAGTATCCACAACGTACATGGTTTAGCAGGAGTAATAAAACATGGTAAGCCTCAGGGGTCTGGGAGGTTCACTAGTGATTCCCTAGGATGTTTTTTTTTAAGCTGCTCAGAACATCTTTTGTCTCCAGATATGAACCATCAAGACATGTGGAAGAATCAGGGTTTCAGGGAAGCCCAGCCAAAAATGTCCAGCAGTGTCGTTATGCCCGACTGGTCATATACCTGTAGCCAGGTGTAAGCCATCAGTCTGCATGTCCCTCAACATGTATTGTAGAAGCTGGCTCTGGGGGCTTCGGAGGCAATTTCAGCTTTAAATGCAAAGGTACACATCTCTAGCCAACCTATTGTCCTGCTTGTGACCAATAATCTACCAGACTTCTGGTTTCCCTGCAGATAAGGATAAGCTATAAGATAACTCGATGCAGTTATGTATAGAAGTATCAATGAAGTAAGCAAGTAGGTTAAAGGTAATGTAAGTCAGAGGTCTCACTATTAGGGAAGGGGATTACAAACATGGAAAGGAAGAAAACTTGAATGAACTGTGTCCTGTATTGAAATCAGATTTGTTGGTGTGAATTCATGGTTTTCAATACTATAAATAGTGAAGTGAACACAGGTGTGTGTGTGTGTGTGTGTGTGTGTTCATTCATGTGTTCTCTAGTTCTGTTCACTGAGAGGGGCTGAGAACATTGAGCTCCTATATGGCAATGAGCACATCTAGAGCCCAGATTATGGCTTAGTATGTATGCATTTTCCACAAAAAGGAACTAGAGCTCATTCTAGAAATGGCTGATTCCGGGGCTTTGACAGTAAAGTATCAGAAGAACTCGAATATCTTGTGCAGAACGCAAGGGTGTGCTCAGAGGGATGGGACTTGCCAAAGGGGCTTAGCAACCAGGTTAGAGGGGCACACACTGGCCAACTGGGACAGTTCAAACAACATACATACTGCTAGTAGTAATTTTAAATTATAACCCATTGACTGAGGTAGGTCAAAGCCATACAAGAATAAGTAAGTAAATCATGATTTTCAACAGCAACACCATTGACAGTTTGGATTGGATGAGCCTGTTGTGTGATCTTATTGTCTTGGTGTGATGGTTTGTTAGCTTGGGTGAGGGCTTTGTGCCTTCCACACTCTTGGCTGGTTCTCTGACTGGCACAGTTACTGAGATGGATCACTGAGGCTGGGCCAGCAGAAACCAGCTCTGCAAGCAAAGCTGACTGGCCCTTGGAATGTCTAATCTCGCTCATTAATCTCATTAGCTCCAACTTGCTGTGCTGATTGCTCTGCTAATTGCATGACTTTTTCTTAATTTGATTTAACATTTACCGACAGTGTTATATGAATCCTTGAGTCATTTTTGTGAGAGGTAACACTTCAACCTGTGAAAATAATTTAGCACTTTTCATTGTAGGAGTGTAACTATAATTTGGGTACATTAACTAATTGTGTAATTTTTTCTTTTCTTTTACAGTCTCCTTATCCCACATCACACAACTGGTCCTCAGCCACAACAAGCTAATAAGTGAGTTGACTTTCCCATTTGTTTCTCAGTGTCTGCCTTGTAGGAAATGTGGTGATACTGCTGACTCTCTTGTTCCCTTTAAAGACACATGTTTATTTGGGGAATTCTAAAGTTTATTTTGGTGACACTAAGATACAAGAGCATATTGTCTTCCCATATTTTGTACATTGCTCTATTTTGAGGATTCTTTCCTATTGAGTGTATAAGCTGAAGAAAGAAAGTGACATTTTGTTTCTGTGGAATTAGTCCCATTTAGAGATGATAAATGCTGCAGTGACCTGAACTGCTGTGCCATTCATTAATATTTCATGGAAAAAAAAGTGTAAAAACATAATTAGAATAAGAGTTTTTTGCTTTCATCTATATTTCCTTTTCAAAGGGGAAAAATTTACCTGTTGATGTACTTTCCTTCCCTGCTTAATGTGTGTGTGTGTGTGTGTGTGTGTGTGTGTGTGTGTGTGTGGGCTTGGGGGGGAAGGGGGAAACCACAGAGTTGCATGAATTATATATATTTGAATCTGCATTTTAAACAATTCTGGAGTCTGGTTTCTATTGGACATCAGTAGTATCATGGTATAGTTAACATATGGTAGGTTTAATACCGGCTCTTATAAGAATATCTTGCATGAATGATATGGGCCATTTTATTTTTAGCTTTGGCTTTAAAGATTTTTAATGACAGCGCCCCACTCTCCTTTTTCATTCCTAATTGACTGTCACTTATTTGTGCTTGCCATATTTCCTGCAGCCTTGAGTGATTTTCTAATCATGTGGCAAGAATTTGTTCGGGAGCTTTCTGAGTCCGATGAAATTGAGCAGAATGTCATCCTGAGGGATTTGTGTCATGAATTTATGGGCAATATGTACAGCTTGAAGCAATGTCACAGAGCTGTTGATTATTGAGAATCAGGAGTGGCAGGGCTCCTCATGTGCAGGAGACAGGCAGATTAGTTCATTTTTAGCAAAACGTGCATGTTTGTAAGGCAAAGGCAGAGTGGAACAATTGTCACATTTTAGTAGTAGGGGCCACAGAAGCTGAAAGTGAGGGCGACAAGTCCCTTGGGGTCGTTTTTGTATCAGGTGACATGCAGCTGTCTTTATTGTTTTTGTAGCAAATGGACCTGCTGTCCACTGAGAATCTAATCCCAGTCAGAGGGTGTTGCTGTTTGTTTAGAAGGGTGGACGGCATGATCCCTGATTTCCCCAAGATTTTGTGAGCAGAAGTCCTAAAGCTTTATACTCCGTAGTTCATAAAAATATTTCTTAATTGCCACTCTTATCTTATGCATCATCATTAGAATGAAACACTTTACATTTAAACAAGAAAGCAAAACTTGCTTTATTCATATTATTTAATTAATTGATGTATTCTTTTAAAATATCTTTCAAATGGTTATAGTTTATTTCTTATATACTTCCACAGAGATAGAAATCTCATGTGTCCATGGATCAGTTTTTTCTCTAGGCATTTGATAGGAGATTAACTTAGAGACATAAAAATATGAACTTAAAAGGTTGACTTTGAATGGATCCAAACTTCATATTTCTTCCTTCCTGTTTTTTCCCCCCCTTCTTCTTCTTTCCTCATTTGAGACACTCTTATCCAGTAAACTCTAATTAATCATCTTGGTAAATTCTGTTTCATGCCATTGTGAGTAGTGTCAGTGACACCCGGTCTGTCCCACTAAGGTCAAATTAGCATCTTTTACTGTTTTTCTGGCATTTAAATGAATGACTACAGAATGGCTTTCCAAGTGTTTATAGTAAATATGTCCATTTGATGGCAATATAAATATGCATTATGTGTATGTGGCCGAGCACATCCTCCTGTCATGTTTTATTGTAATCAGTGTCTTTCACTTTCTGTGGTTTTTAATAGGGGCCTCAGTAGTGCTTTTATCTTGCAAAAGTGTTTGTGTTTATCTCTTTGCATGCCAGTTGCACTGAACTCTAAAATTCCCACTGTGGACTTATGGGATGACTGACTGGCTTACTCAAAGTGGGGCCCTGGGCCGGGCCACCGATTCACTGCACGCATTTGAGTTAGTATCTGTGGGGACACTGTGATGCTGCGTTAGTTAACTTTCTTTCCCTGCTGCTAGTTTTGATATTGACAGGCACACTTGACACGGTACCAGTGAGGCCGTGAGGAAGGTGAAAGTGGGCTGATAGTCTTTAAATTCCTCAAGATTTTATGAGCATAAATTCTTGATGCTTTTTAAATTACAATTCATAGAAATATTTCAAAATTGTCAAGGTAATCACTGATAGAGTTTCATCATTACTACAGTGACACTACTGAAATTTAAACCTGGGGCATGGGGCAATGCTGATGAGTTTTGGAAACAGGGAAGTCAGTGGCAAATGGCCTTGCCTGCAGCCACTCTCCTTGATGCATGCATGACTAGGAGGGGGGCGGCAGAATAGCCAAGGACCATTTCCTTCTGCTATGGCTGGACAGGTACAATCTCAGAACCCAACAGTTTCCTTTCTGGCCCAAGGGGAATGGTTTCAGAGTAAAGATGAGGTTTACCACTAGACCAACCCTTCAGAAACTCCACTTTCCCTGCGATACCACACATATCCTGTAGAAGGCACTGCTTGCCTTCCAAACCAGTTCTGCTCTGGCGCCCATCCTAGCCAGCCTTTCCTCACTATGTGCTGCCACAGGAAGATTCCTCTCCCCCTCAGGTGCCTAGCCCTGCTCTGTTGTAGGCCAGCTTGCCCTTTCCTCTCTATTCTGCAGTGGCCTTGCCCCCACCCTCCTCTCCAGGCTCCCCGACTACCCTGGCCAACTGGAAATCTTTCTTCCCCAAGCTCCTACCTACTCTTCATAGATTCTTTAAACTAATGTCGAACATCCCATCTGAGTGTTTCATGTTCCTTCTCTCTTTCCAAAAATCTTAGGCTTTATTGAAAGCAGGACTGTGTCCTCAGCTTCTTTCATGTCTTGTTCTTGCTGAGCACACAGTGGCCTCCCAGTAATTACCTGTGCAGAGCAGCTGATGATGGTGGCAGTCTGTGACGGGGAGGAAAGCTGGCCTGAGGTGAATGGTCAGTGTAGGAACTGGATGTTTTCAGACTTTCCTAGTAAGTGTGGTCACCACAAACTTCTATTTCTAAGCCATGGGCCCATTTCAAACATGCTGGACTGTGAGAGCTGTAAAGAAACTTTACCTATGTCCTGGAAATTGGTGTCACATCATCGCATCATCGTTGTAGTCACTGGGGCCCTTGCAGTCCTGAGGAATGATGTGTGGGATGGCGTTCCTCACAGACATCTTAGGATCCGGGAGGGCAGGCTGGCACCGTGCCGTGCTGCTCCTGGTTCTCCCCCCGCAGCGACCTCGTGGGCCTGCTTTTACTACCCTAGGTCTCGCTTCTTCTAGGCCCAGGACTCTCACTTAAAGTTAGTTTCATATTCTGTATTTAAGGTCCCAAGTTAGTTGCTAATTTCTTCATAGAATTAACTATTTTAGACGTTTCTTGAGGTGAGGAGCCCTGTCTGATGCTATGTATCCTACCCCCCACAAAAGTGCCCAAAGCATGGTGAACATGAAATACCGTGTTTCCCTGAAAATAAAACATCCTCCAAAAATAAGACCTACTTACAGGTTTCCTTCTGAGTGAAATATAAGGCAACCCCCCGAAAATAAGCCCCCCCCCCCCCAGGCTAAACATGAGAGATTTGGTCCACTGATTCTGAAAGAAATGGAGTCACAAGAAATTCACCAGGAAATTCAGGAATTGGATTGTTATGATGATGACATGATTGTCATTGAATAAATGAGTAAATTCTTGATACTGTAGGATTCAGTTTGTCTGGTTTGTGTTGACAGCTACCGTACTACCGTACCTTATACAGTAATAAATTTCCTTTATTTTCATTTAACAATAAATGTGTACCGTATTCTTCTTCATGGAAAAATAAGACATCCCCTGAAAATAAGACCTAGCGCATCTTTGGGAGCAAAAATTAATATAAGACACTGTCTTATTTTCGGGGAAACAGGGTAGGTTCTCAGTTCATACTGATGGAGCATTAGATTGGTAGCTGATGGGTAGTGCCAAGTCCCAGCAGACTGAGATGATGCCCCAGGGCAGCTTTGGGCTTCTAAAGAAGGGAACAAAGCAGCTATTCTAGTCTGTCTTCCTCAGTCTCTGCCCTGCTGCCTTTGTGATGACCCTCTCTTGTAAGCCAGTGCTATCGAAGTCTTTTCAGTGTACTCTTTAATCTTATCCTTGCTTCTTCTTACAGTGTTTGGAAACCTTAGTTTTGTAAATGTTTTCCTGCTCCTTTTCAGGCATAGAAAAAAATTTTGAAACTATCATTTCAACACGTGTCCACTAGAGGTCACTGTTGAGATAGGTATTTTTTCCCCCTTTCTGGTCTTGGGCCTAACTAAAGATTAAAAATCAAAATGGTATCAGATGAAATTTTTTGCAAGCTTTTTAGCGCTGTTCAACAGGGCATGTTGCTCTTTCCATTTACATTATAGTTTACCATAATTAAAGTAGACTGAACGATGTTATTTTTCTGTTTTGCTCCTAAATTTGTACATTCATTTTCACACATTATTTTTTAGTGTTATAATGGCTACTCTCTCAAGTTAGAAACTTTTTTTCCAATATCTTTTCATTGGAAGGATTTTGCCTTCTGCAATATTTTTGTTGAGTATATGTGATTTTTTTCCCCCCTGTAAAAGAAAGTTTAAAATATGTATATATGTATGTAATCAGATTGAATTAAAAAAATAACCATGTGAAAATCAGGAAAATGCATATTTATATTGATTCTTATATCAATCATTATCTAAGAAAAAATACTGTACATTATGAAATGAATTATATTCTGCATCAGTAATAAAATAATCACTGAGCATTAATTTTCTTTTTTTTTCAATTTTTAAAAAAATATACTTTACTGATTTAAAATTTTTTTTTTTTTTTTTACAGAGAGGAAGGGAGAGAGAGAGAGTGCTAGAACGTCAATGAGAGAG